GTGGTTCAGCAAAAATGATTCCCTTTTGGCGATTCAGATCATATGCCGAAGGTTTACAAGCTTTATCAAAAATAATTTTAACAAGCAAACGTGCATCTGAGCAAAGAGATTTTAACAAAGAAAGAAAGAAAGAAAAAAAAAGGTGTAATGCTTTAGTTTGTTTTCCAATACCTATTGCATTAAAAAATGTTGGTTGAGACTCAAATCTGCAAAAATCTGATTAACTGGGTCCCTTTCACCCAACTTCTTATTAGCAATCTTGCCGTTTCTACCGATTCCCATGACTGTTGCATCTGTACATCGATGTCTTATCTAAATTGAAAATAACCTGTAAACTTTGTTAACAAGCTTGTTAAACACGAACCAACATAACATTATTGGTAAGTTCAAAGAGAAAGACTGAAGAGCTCGATTCTAAATTTTGCGATTGATTATGATTTTGATGACCTAAATCATTGCCAAAAATGACCAACAAAATGCTCTTTAAATGCTCTAAATACAAAGAAAAATGACATTAAAAAAATTTGATCAAAACCACTTCATTTTGACAACTCAAGCTGTGGGTATGTTACTAATGTAATCGAGAGTTCTTCCTTTTGTTCACGTCAACTCAGCCTTCAAACTTATGGTTTCAACAATTCTTTAAAAGACAATATCTGCCTTTATCGGCCAAACTGACAATAGCGCCGATAGGTGTCCCAGGAACCTTAGATTAGATATAACTAACAGGTGACACTACAATATATGAGCGAAGATATCGAATAGGCTTCTCAGGAATTCTGTGTCAAACGTTTGTTGCACCTCGTGAATATTGTTTAAAGCAAGTACCATTAAAGTATTAAAATCAACAAAAAAACGCCTCTGCTTCCAAGGAGAGTCAACCTACCAGGTACCTTCCTCTTGAGCGTCCAAGTAAATGTAAGAAAATTGATAACACTATTGGTAATTGGACCAACTTCACCATCATATGCAAGATACCTAAACTTAGCTTAGAAACCTTGTATAAAACAACTCCATAAAAAGATTGCATAGAAATATAAATACTGACCTGAAGGATACCATTAGCATCAATTTCAAATGTCACTTCAATCTGCGGAACACCCCGAGGGGCAGGAGGAATACCCGTAAGATCAAATTTTCCAAGCAAATGGTTGTCTTTAGTCATGGGACGCTCTCCTTCATAAACCTGCAATAAACAATCAGTAAAAATTTACTCTGCCGTTTAAAAAAAATAAAATCCTCTTCGAATTCTTTGAAAATAAATACCTGAATGGTTACAGTGTGTTGATTGTCAGAGGCAGTCGAGAAGATTTGAGACTTCTTTGTAGGAATTACTGTATTCCTTGGGATGAGTTTGGTCATTACACCACCCACAGTCTCAATTCCAAGTGTAAGAGGGTTCACATCCAGAAGTACAATGGCATCAGTATCTTGTTCACCAGACAGAACACCAGCTTGCACAGCAGCTCCATATGCAACCGCTTCATCGGGATTAATACCCCGGGACGGCTCTTTGCCACCAAAGAATTCTTTGACCAATTGTTGAACTTTAGGAATACGTGTGCTTCCACCAACCAGCACTATCTCATCAACATCCTTTTTGTTCATATCTGCATCTTCCAAAACTTTCTGTACTGGTTTCATAGTAGACCTGAACAAATCCTGTAAGAAACATGAACCCCATGAAATTATTAAAGGTTTCAGATAAATATTAAGGGAACTATTATGTAAACTGTTTAAACTTTAATTGTTTATAAGATATCATAGTAACTATTTTAAACATTTTCTTTCCAGCAATATTTGAAGAACGTTTCTCATTTAATTATTACTTTAAAGTTAATAACAAAAAATTATTACTACAAGACAATTAAAACATTCCTCTTTAAACAACCACCTTAGCATTAATCTGCAGTTATGGACCCTCACCCCCCAAAAGAAAAAAATTAATGATACCTATTACAAGGCTTATGCAATTTCAGTTTAAATGGTCAAAGACTTACCATATTCAGCTCTTCAAACTTTGCACGAGTGAGTGTTTCTGAAAAGTCATCACCTTCAAAGAAGCTTTCAATTTCAATTCTAGCCTGATGATTACTTGATAGTGCTCTCTTTGCTTTCTCGACTTCACGGCGCAGCTTCTGAACTGCTCTATTGTCTTTTCTGATATCCTTGCCCTTCTTTTTCTTATACAACTTTATGAAATGGTCCATCACTCTTTGATCAAAATCTTCTCCACCCAAGTGAGTGTCTCCATTTGTAGATACAACCTGGGAAAATTTTTGATACAATATACTTTAAATTACACAAATTGATAAGAATTAAGTTAGACATTTCTCATGCAATACAGAAACTGACCGGCAAATTATATTCATGGAAACTATCACAGGAAATTATCAAATACAATATTGGAAGTTTTAGAAATAATTATGGTGAACTGAACATTAAAAATTCCCTCTGAAGACAATCCCCATTAACCATTACTTGTGATTAATTCTGGTATTTAAAAGAGTTTCTATGCCAAGCAATAACTAGTTTCATTTGCTTCATTATAAAATAAGTTTTTGTTTGTTAAACTCTTTGTATATAAAAACTATTTTGCCACATGATTCTTTATAACTTTTTGGGTTGATCTTTACTTCAGTAGGGTTATCCTACTTGTTGGCACTGCAGGAAGAGTGAAGAGGGTGGGAGCAACCTTCCTTCCTTTCTTTTTCTTCATATAAACACTTTGCAATTTTGCATTGTCTAGACAAAAATATTTTAAGTAAACCTTGAAGGCTTAAGACTGGAGCTTTGCAAAGCCAATTAAGTAGACCGTAATACTATTTAGGCACAAATGTGTATTAGAAATTTGCAATTTTCAGAACTTCTGTTGCTTAGAACCCTACTACTATTTACACTGTTTTATTAATTGTAAGCACAGATTCAGGGATAATCAGTTTTCTACAAATTTTTGAACTCGATAAGTTCCATACCTCAAATACTCCGTTGTCAATAGTGAGAAGGGAAACATCGAAAGTACCACCTCCTAAATCGAAGACAAGAACATTTTTTTCTCCTTCTTTCTTATCCAAACCATAGGCAATAGCAGCTGCAGTAGGCTCATTAATAATTCTCATTACTACAAGACCAGCAATAGTTCCAGCATCCTTTGTAGCTTGACGTTGGGCATCATTGAAGTATGCAGGCACAGTTACTACTGCATGTGTAACCTATTTGGAAATCGCAAAATTTACATTTTATAATTTCACACAAATACATCTACATTATATTTCTTTTTAATATACTTTTGGACAATTTTCAATACAGGTGAATCAAAAATTGACCAACCTTCTTTCCAAGATAGGCTTCAGCAGTTTCTTTCATCTTTCCAAGAACCATCGCAGAGATCTCTTCAGGAGCAAATAACTTGTCTCCTTGACCAGTGGCAACTTCAATATGTGGTTTACTGTTTTTCTCTTTCACCTGAAAATGAATGCATGCATGTAATATAATAATTTGAAAAATAATACTTATAAATCTTAACCCACTAATTTTTTTAATCTTAATTGCTAATTGCTTTTCTTAAATCTACCATCAGCACAAATTGAATTTGATATTAACCATTTCTAAATGTATGATGTAAAAATAGTTGAATACTAATTACCTTAAAGGGAAAGAATTTCACGTCGTGTTGAACAGTAGTATCCAACCACTCTCGTCCAATAAGACGTTTAGCATCGAAAATAGTATTTTCTGGATTTGCGGTAAGCTGATTTTTCGCCGCATCGCCGATCAATCGTTCACCATCTGGAGTAAACGCCACGTATGAAGGCGTAATTCTATTGCCCTGATCGTTGGCAATAATTTCCACTCGTCCATTTTTGTACACGCCAACACTGCAAAAAAAGACATAATCAATATACCATGTACTTTCTTGAGAAAGTTGTACTTGAATGCACCTTAAGTCCGCAACACTTACCACGAGTACGTAGTTCCTAAATCAATGCCAATAACAGTTCCAACGTCCTTATTTTTTTCTTCTTTCGCCCAACAATTAACATAAAGGAGGCACAAAGCCCCCACAATGTAAAACTTCATCATGAAAGCACACTGAAAAAGAACTGTAGTAACATGACAGTAAGACTGAATCCAAAACGAGTTTAAAATAAATTACACGGCTCGTGTGAAAAAAATACTCACACGAAGAAGTTTACTTCAGTTAGAGTTAAATCATCCACTGGCCCACGATTCACACAGAAGTATTCACAGTCTCTCTACTACACAACAGACACTCCTGAAACGCGTTTCCTTGCTGACTGATCTGGAGTCCTCCGAACCGCTACCATCATAAAGGTCGACTTACTTCGTGTCTTGACATGATTGGTTAATTCCAACCATGGTTGAAAACGTTCGTATCGATCATTGGTGAAACTTCGGCGAGTTGGCTCTCTCCCATTGGCCCACGTTCTGTTAAACAGACTCGACCAGAAATTTCTAGGCCACTCTTGTTTCAAGCGGGATGATTCAAAAATGAATTTCATTGCGATTCAAAGTAAGAGAAGAGTAGCGGTGTAATATTGTGTTTCAATTAGAAGAGTTGTCACACATGATTTTAGATGTAAAGTTAGAAAACATTTCATAATTTTCGACATTTTCCTTTTATGACCTAATCCAAAACCCATCTAGAACGCTCTGTACAAGATAAAAATAATGTTAAACTTTATTTAACATGCATTTCATAATTGCTTATTGAATAAAGCAATTCGTAGTTCAATCTACGAAAATAAAATAATTTTATGAAATAGAACAAAGATAATTGACCAAACATATGTGCAATACTGCTACGTCATGATGACTGTTTTTTTATATTTTAAAATAATTGTTTGCATTTAAAAATTAAAACGTGTTTTGTAATCTGTAATGTGATTTTTTTTAAATTGTTATTCACCTTTGTAAAGTAATTTTTTTAAAATATATATAGTTTATGGTCTGCAATACAATACCAAAATTAAGTATTGAGATAAATGTATTTAGTGGTGATTAAAATACAGGTAACTGTTATTCATATAATCCTTTTCTGTCTCATTATGAGTTATTAGTTTTTTGTTTTGCCTGATTATAAGTCATATATTGAAAAAATAGTCTGCTTACGCCAATCCACCTGTGGGTATACTTCGTTACAATACATTTGTTTCACTTTCAGTAATCAGAAATACATGAGAAGTATTACAACAATTTCTCAATTTAAGGGATCCTTCATAACTGAAGTTCAGAAAATAACAAAATTAATTTTAATAAACAATATTTCCCCTTTAATATCACAAATTCAAAAGTGCTCACAGAATCCTCTTTCATTCATTGTCAACTTCATTTTATCAATAAAAACAATTAATTAACATGATTTGTAAAATTCTAAATTTTCAATTAAACAATCAGAAAAAATATTTGAAATGTGTTTATCAGAATTGAAATGTATTGAAAACAATATTTAATAAAAATTTAATGAATGATTTAAATATTATTTTTATTGATCTTCAAGGATTGTTTGCTGCTGGAAGTCTAAAGATCTCTCTTTCAGTCATGAATTTGATTAGTTGGAACACTCATTTTACAGTGATCACATTATAAAGGACAGGGCTGTGGTCACAATGATACCTAATCTTTTAATTGAACAAGCCCTCCCAGTTGATCAATGGTTAATTCAGTGTTATATCACACTCTAATAACTACACTGACTGAATGTTATTAGACTGTGGTTGTATGTTGTATTTTGTGAATTTAAATTTCTTTAAATATCACTTTAAAAAGATACATAAAAAAATATTTAATTAAAGTAACAAAAAACTGTTTCTCATTTAACTCATAAATTGAAATAATTTCTCAAAATGTTAAATATTTATATCACAGATTTATTTGAGAAGAACACTCTTATGGATGGACATTTAAATTTTGAGAGGTGATGATTTAGATTAAGAAATTTTGATTACGAAAAATTATATTTATTTAAATATGAACTATTTCCTTATCTATTACATATTATTACCTATGAATTACATATTTGATTTATTCATTTTCACACTATTTTAAGATTAATTGCTTCTTTATGAAAAATTTACTGACCGATTTCGTTTAAAAAAAGGGTATTAAGAAAATTTTTGTTTTACTTTTCACGAAGAAATTAATTTACAATGGAATCTTTATTACTGGCAGTTTGATTATCAACAAAATCAATTATCTAAGAACTGTTTCATAAATAATGACACTGATTGTATGTATGTACTTGGCGCAACAGCCCATGAACAGACTCAGGCCTACTGGTGATGTCCCTGCCTTGTAGCCATGGATTAAGCAGATACGTGTGGTTAGCACATAGACATCCTTATTCCATATTCTGGACTTCTGAAGCTGAGAAGTAAATTTTCTTATCTCACAGCAACATATACTAGGATGTTGCAAGGAAAACACACACTATAATCTTGCCGCACTGGTAATTGAACCTGGGGCCACATAATGAGAAGCAAGCATGCTAACAATGTGGCCTAAAGACAATGATTACACAAATAAATTGACAAAAGAAAATCATGATTGTGAATAACCTGCAACCTAATGACGATTGATGATGTTGGAACTACAACAAAAAAGTTCATTAGCAAAATAAATAAAAAACACTTTTTTGTTTTTTAACATCATGAGTACTACTGAAAGATATTGACTCATGTTATGGCGTTTATTATACAGGTGGACTATAAGAGAAACTTATAATTTTTTTCGGAAATTATTAAAAAATAAATGCAAAAGGCAAAAAATACAAATAGACCACTTTTATGCTATTATTTTTCTAGGGGTAAAAATCACCAAGAGTGATTTTCATGTTTTCTGTTTTAGAACTTATGTATTATCTTCACCATAAGTGCATCAGTGTCTCCAAGGATGGGATTATTTTGTCTTCTATCAGATATGGTAAAATTAGTATAATGAGAAGATGTATAGGGTAGCAATTTTGACATTTTTAAAGAATAATTTTAATTGGCATTCATTAAATAATCAATAATAAAATAATATATAATAATAATAATAATAATAATAATGATAATAATAGTATAATTTAAAAAGATATTGTTGCACACATTGCTCATATGTTATCATTGCGCAAAGTATAGCAACAAATTTAATACAAATTATGTTGTTGATTTTCAGCTAATGGAACTAAATTTTAAAGATTTATCAATGTACATGTGTGATTTTCAAGATAAAACACATTAACTGACAACAATGCTTCTGCCTGGTGGAATTTATGAATAGTTTTGAAACACTTCAATTTTTATTTATAGAAAGCAAACATATTGTGATAAAGTTCTACACTGATTGTAGAAGTGCTAAAAATTGTAAATTCATCATGAGAGTGATCAAATCAGATATGTTTGCTTTTCTATAAAAAAAATTGGAAATTGTTTAAAAAACTATCATTAAATTCCACAGCAGAAGCATTTGTTGTCAGTTTAATGTTGTTTTATCTTGAAAATTTCAGCACTGTACATCTGATGATCTTTAAAATTAGTTTCCATTAGCTGAAAATCAACAAACATAAGTATGTATTATTTGTTGCTATACTTTGGTCAATTGATAACATATGAGCAATGTGTGCAACAGTCGCTGATTAGTTAGTGGACTAATTATATTTCAAAGAATGAGATAACATAGGTTTTATCAGGTCCAGTCTAAAAAAATGTTAGGGGTTAAGGTGTATATACGTATATAATGGGGTTCAGGTGTGTAAAGGTAGCAGATATTTTGAAGGAACTCACTATTAACCGTTTTGAACATGTTCACAAAGGCAAAATGTTCTATACCATCATTTGCATCCTAAGCTAACATATGTTTTGGTAGCTTTGGGCATATAATTTTTAATAGAGCTGATAAAGGCTAGAGATAACTTCTTTCCACTCTTTGAAAGTTGTTGTCATATTCTACATATTCTTTATAACTTTTTTTTGCAATGTTTTGGTATATAAGTATAATAACTATGTCTTCTTTTAGTTATGGGAGAGGAAGTTTTTTTCCAAGAGAAAAATGATTGCAGGTAATATATTGTCTTCTTCATAGACATATCACAGGAGGGACAGGTGGACTGTGGTTCTCAGAAAGTTTTGAAAGGGCTTTCCTATATAATGAAACATTATATTTCTATAAATACTTTCAATTCTTGATTTCCTCCCTTTCTTCACCTGAATATTTGTTTTACTTATTTTCAAATATAATATTTGAAATGTGTTAAAAAAACAAGTTTAATGGAAAGGAGGCCCAGAAATGTAGTTACTTTTTATCTTATTTCAGGCTGCGCCCACCTAGGATGTTCTTGCACCATTTATTTATTAATTTATTTTTATTTAAAATTGTTTACATTTTTGCAGCTAACTCAATATATTTGCCTTTCACTCTCTTAATTTGTATTTCATTTTTTCAGATCAGTCACTGCATTCAAACTTACCCGTATACTACTGCATATACCACTTCTGGATTTGCAGATTACGATAATAAGGGGTTGTTCATAATTTACATAACGCAAATTAGGAGTATTTTGAATACCCCTTCTTTCGACTGAAACACACTTGTAGCATTAGCTTGACTTCCCCTAAATAATGTAATGCTTGTGACCCTCCCCCTTTTTGCAATAAGTAAAAATAAATTATATAACAGTAAAAACAATTTGTATTAATTATGTCTGAATTATATATTTAAACAAGATAATTATTCAGAATTAGTTGGTGATGCTGACTGCATCCCCCACTGGATGCACCCCTGTAAAAAAAATGATTTTCTTTTTTTAATTGAAAGCAGCAGCACTAGGCTTCGGTAATGTCTGGAAGAAATAGAGGAACAGAAAATTGCACTCCTTCAATAATTTTGTATTTTAAACTAATGGTAATTTAAACCAAGAAAATTTGAGAAAAGAACTTGTTGCTGAATGATGGATCAGTGATATAATCAGAAACATTTCCATCTGAACGTCCCGCTAAATGTGTTAAATTGTATCAGCGTACGCGATACCAACTTTTCACTCTATGACAAAATTAATTTTACTTCAAATATTGACTTCACAGTTTGTTCAAATTTTTTCATAGAATTATTCCTTTATTACCCATACTTTCATTCGAATATTTGGATGTGGAATTTTTTTCATTATTGTCCAGTGTTTCCATGCACTTTCCAGGAACTTTCAAAACAGAATAAATCCAAAACTTCCATACAAATGTTGTCTGTACTGACTCGAGACACTGAACCAACTTGAACAGCAAGTCCCAAGGTCCCAAGTCGGCACTTGGCAGCTGTGTTGGGCGCTGCTGCTTTGTGTGACGTAATTAGCAAGCATATTCTTCTTTTAGTATGATGCATTTGTTAACTTCATGATATACATTCCATTAACAATAATTGCAGTTTCCATTTGAAAAAAACTGATATGGATTTTCGAGGAAAATACTGTGTCAGTCTACGGACGTCATAACCTCCCTCCATTGACGGTGATCGGTGGTTTGCCTTGGTCTTCTGGTGTCTGATCACGGAGTGGGTGGAATTTGGGGTGATGTTTTGTGTGCGTAATACGCAGATGTGAAGGTAATAATTACAAGAAATCAAGACATCGGGTTGTCATTCAAAATGGAAGTTGTACAAATGTTAAAAAATATTAACGATCGGTTTGGAGCTCTTGTTGCTTCAGAATGGATGGGAATTATGGCAGAAAACCAGGTATGTTGAATTGTGTAATCGTGTATTCTCACAAAAAATTATATTGTTTTGTGGTTACTGCAATGTTTTAGACTGTACTAGTTTATTGTCATCAGCTCTTATGTTGGAAAAAAAACGTAAATTTTAACAGATTGTAGTGCATTTTCGTGACGGATTAAATAAATAAATAAAAAACAAACAGATTAAGTAAACTCGACACTATGTGGAAATTAAAGTGTAAATGTATTTCCATAAAATTCTGTAATAACAAGTTATTGGGAAACAAACTGACAGTTTATGTAGAATGTAATGCTGCTTTAGAAACTCTAATATGAGTTAATGTAACATGAATATTCCTGTTTTTAGGGGCTATTCTTAATAACAGGAGCAATTATCCTCACAGTTATCTTCACTGTCCTCATTACTATAATCAGAAAATGGAAAAATCAAGGTACTTATATTTTGTCTCAATATTGTTGTTTTTTGGATTATATACATAAAGTATTAAATATGTTTATTCATTTTGTTATCTGAAACCTCTCTTTGTTTAGAGTTTTTGCCTGAAGTGAAAGAGTTTGTTGGAGTTGGTTCTACCCGGCCACGATTTCGAAAAAGAGATAAGGTTCTTTTCTATGGTCGGAAAATGTTGCGTAAGGTAATTGATCAGGAAAGTCAATAAGACTTATTTTGAGGTTAAAAGTCTTGAATGGAAATTATGTTTGTGTTTGTTTTAGGTTAAATCTATTTCTGGGCAAGTGCATGGAGGACAAGGCAAGAAACGAAGGCTAGTGATGCGTTTTGCACGTCGATTGTTACAGTTAAAAAAAGATTCTACCCCAATGCAACTAAAGGTGAATTTCATAAATTGATGATAAAATCTTTATTTATTTTTAAGTAAATGTATTTCATTAATATTATTTGTTTTTCTTTTAATTTTAGGTACTAGAACCACCTGCAGAATATTTGGAAGAAGAGACTAGCAAAGATGACCAGCGTGTGCCTCCAGATGCCTTGTATATGCTCCAAAGTATAAGGTATAGTCACAATCACTTTTAGTAGCTGTGCTATTAATATTACACTTAATGCTATTAATATTACTGATATCTTGTCATCCGTTTTAGAGTTTTTGGTCATTTTGAGAAGCCTGTCTTTTTGAAACTTTGTAAACATACTGAAATTATGAACTTGCCAGCTGGATCATTCCTCTTCAAAATTGGTAAGCAATTTTAATATTGAATTAAAATATTTTCACATTAATAAATATGAATACTATTGATTAATTTGTCCATTAGTAAACCTTGAAAGTAAAACCTATTTTTTGATAATAATATAAAACATTGGGGCTTCACATTTAAATATTTTGTCAACATTTAAATTTGTTGAAAGTCACATTTAGTAGCCTTGCATTCATTTGTTAATGACTTGGATGTCTCAAAAGGTTGAAAGAGCATTTTTCAAATAAAATTGTGTTATGTTTATCTTTTTGCCCCTGGAAGTTTGAATTTCTATCAGTTGCAACAATTTGTTTTTGTTTATATCTTTGCCTCCATATGCAAACGATTGAAAGATGTTATGAGATTATATGATTGAATCAAACTAAGTTTACTGACTATAATGCTCAAGATAATTGTAAAGTATTTCCTTTTTCAGTGTTTCAATAAGTATTGACTAATCATCATGTATTTGTATTCACTAATTGTAACTGTGTACCAATGAAAATGCTGATAGTCAGCCTAAGCAACCATAAAATGCTGAAAAAATTGGCCGTGTGCCTTGTGAAATAGACAGATGTGTATGTTTTAAGGAATCAAAAGGTTCTCTTTCAATAATTCACCCTGTTAATTGGATACTTATAAGGGGTAGCTGAATCTTATGGGGAAAAGTGCCCCTGGGGTAAAAGTTTTTTATGTTCAAAATTATATTTGAAATTAATTTTTTTTCTTTCTTTTTTTCTTCTTTTGGATTTAAATCAGTGTGCCCTGAGTTTTTTCCACAAATGGAAAGAAAGAAAGAAAAAAAGTGTTTTTTAGCTTCTTATATAAGTTAAAATTTTTTAACCACGTTAAATTATAAAGTCCGTAAAATGATCCGTAGATTATAAAGACGTTTTGAGAATTTTCTTAGGCGTTTGTATCGCTGTTATGATCCTTGTATTAAACAGTAAAGAAGAAAAAAGAAAAAGGAAAAAAACAAACATGTTTTTTAAGATTATCTCATTCTGACACTTATCACAAAAAGGGCTAAATACATATTGTACCCTATAACTTCTCTACACTTTCCCAAAATTTCAATCTTTCTCTTACTATTTGTACCCGACAACTCAATATAAATGAAACAGCAATTTAATAATTTCCTATTTATTTTCTTAAAGTTATGTTAGCTCCAAGTTAGATAAGCGCCAAGGAGTGTAAAGGACTCTTTTTGCTGTTGTTGTTAAATAACTTGTACTTATTAGTAATCTAACGTTAATGTTTTTACTCATAGAAAAAATATGTTTCTGAAGAAGAATTTATTTATTTATTTACAGGCTGCAGTAAAAACTAATAAATACCCCAAATCAGGCTAATAACATTTTGTATGATAGTTAATATATATAAATATTATAATAAATATTGCACATAGTTATGTAGAAAAATTGAATACTTTCTTGGATACTTAAGTACAGATTTTGAAATGAGGTAGAAATAAAGATAAAAATATAAATTATAGAAAGAAAGAGAAAAAAAGTTATGTTATGTCAAGGGGTTCATATCTTGGTTCATCATCCTATCATAAGCTACTTTGAAAGTTTGAACACTCGACGAGGCAAAAATTTATTCTGGTAGAAGATTCTAGAACTCTACAATGCGATTTGATAGGAAGTTTTGTTTTTGGAGTCGTTTAAATTTGGCTTTGGTTAGTGACTGTGACCTCTCAAGTAGGCATTCCAACATCAGGTAAAGATGTCTTCTAATTCATGATATCTGTAAAATCATCTCACAACCTTGAAAGTTCCACAGAGGTCTGTATGAAGATGTCTCTCACTGAGAGGAGACAGTCAATTCTCTAAGACGAGCATTGTACAGAAGATTTCTCAGACAAGGTACTATTTTGGTGGCTTTCCACTGTATGTTCTCCAAAGTTAAGATGTCTTTGTAAAAATAAGGGTCCCAAACAGTGCTGCCATATTCAATACTTGGAAGGATAAAGCTTTGGTAGAGAAGTTTAAATGATTCGCTAACTAGAGATTTAAAGGCTTTCCTCAGGGATAAAGTTTTTTATTTGCGTTTTTAGTAATATAATTAATGTTTCTCCCATTTCAAGTCGTCAGAAATCGTTATTCCCAGGTCTTTGATACTGTTTTCCAGCTTCATTCCTTTCGTTTTAGATAGTATGGTAAACGAGGGCCGTTTCTACCAATGTGAATTACGGAGCTTTTTGTCTCGTTCAGTTGGATAAACCAAATCTGCGATCATAAAGAGGTATTATTTAGGTCTCTTTGTAAGTCTGCATAGCTAGTAAGTGGGTTAGCTGATTGTTTGGAGTCATCAGCAAATAGCAAGATCATAGTTGAAGTGTTATGTCCTTTTATAGTACGAGGTTGTTTGCTAGTATATAGAATATACAGGACAGATCCCTGCGGAATTCCATTAGTCAAACGATAGTCTCCAGATGTCTCATCTCCCACTCTGACTCTAAACGTAAGGCCGGTAAGGTATGAAGGTAGACTGGCGTGAAGTCTCCCACGAACTTCAAGATGGAACAGCTTCAGAAGATGCCTACGAGGGACTCTTGCAAAGGCCTTTGAGAAATCCAGATAGATAACATCTGTTCCAAATTGTTAGTCCATCGATAGATGTTCAAAAGGAGGTTTGTCACTGTTGATCGATTAGGGATAAATCCTTGTTGTTCTGGCGGAATAGAACTTGCCCCAAGGGCGAATTCCCAAAGCCTTTCCACAACGAGGCGTCCCAACACTTTAACTCGTCGCACTAGTCGAACTAATGGGTCGGTAGTTTCCTAGGTTGTATTTATCACCCTTCTTGTGGACAGGAGCTATCACAACCTACTTCCAGTTAGGGGGGATGACTCCCGAATCGAGTGAAAAGCGAAATAGTTGAAATAAATCTGCCGAAATTACTTCCCCACAGTTTTTCAGAAAGATAGGAGGCATTATACCATCCATCCGGACCGCACGATGAATTTGTATTTAAGCGGTTTAATATGCTTATACATCTGTTGGTTGGAAGACTGTGTCATCGAGGAAAATTTCTGCCTGATATAGAGTAATGTTGGAAGTGGGTCCACCGGTTCAACAATATTAGATTTTGCAAACTGATGCGAAGTTTTCAGTAGTTTCCCGGCAGTTTATAGTAAGTTCACCATGATTTTTTCTCAAGGATATAGAATTGTCACGGGGTATGGTTTGCCTACGAATGTGTGCGTGCGCGCGCGCGCACGCGCGTGTGTGTATTTCCTTATCTTTCTTTGTTGCGATATTATTTTCATAACGGAGTGGGCAGTTCTTAAGAGACGAATTTATCTAATGCCGTAGATTATTATATTTCTCGCGTATAAAAGGTTGTTTAGTTGACTTCTATTGTTTCCATAGCTTCCTTTTGTAACATATTCCGCGAAATAGCTTTTGGTTAATCAATGTTTTTATAACTATTCTGCAGTGTTTGAAGGGGAGTTAATATATAAGAGGAACGTAGCTGTCGACCTTAAATTATACCATAACAGAGATGGATTATCAATTGTAAAGTTATTTGATGAGTGGGTTCACAATTACCTATTAATCATTATGTAATCTGCTCGCCAATAGTTTTTTTCTCAGTTTTCTGTGGTGCGGTTAAAGCGGTAAGGTAAGCTGGTATTCTGTCCTTATGAGAACATGTTCACTATTGCCAATTGGTGTAGATATAAATTGAGTAAGTGAAGTATTGTTATACATATCGAGGAAGGCTTGTGCCCCTGGAGAGATGTTAGATGTTGGGACCGGCCAATTCAACGAAGGAAGGTTAACGCCAAGTGTAACCATCGTATCCCTCGAGTCACAGACATTCTGTATTATCCGGAAAAGGTTGGTATCATTAACTGTTGTGCATAGGTTGGAGAACGGTAAATAACTCAAGTATCAAGTAAGCAAGCTTGAGCCATAGCGATTCTGTTCCTAAATACGGAGTGCTTGTATCTAAGATAACTGTACCTATACCTGTCAAGGCCATACCAATGTAATTCGTTATTGGTATAGAGAAGGACCCCGCCTCCGATTCCTTTACGACGATCCTTCCGATAAACCGAGTAGCCAGAAGTAGCGATCAGACCATCAGGAATTTCGTCTGATAGCCAGGTTTCCGTCAAAGCTTTTACATGGGGTCTTTTGCAGCAACAATGGCCAAAAATTCATCGAATTTGCCCAGTAGCCTGTCAACATTAGTGTAGATTATTCTAATGTTTTTTACTGCTGCCTGAGGTGGTTTCCCGGATTTGGATCAGAATGAGTGCGTGGGACGATTGTTGGAGTTCCCCAAATTTACTTGATTGTAGCCGCTGGATCAAGTTTTTTTACGTTCCGTCAGAGGCTTCTTCAGGTTCAATAGCTCGTCTCGCTGGGTAGGAGTGATGATCACCCTTTATCGAAATGCTTTTGGGAAAAATGCTGTCTTAGAGAGAATGACTCATGCGAAATCAGTGGATTTAAGAATTGCTTTCAGCGGGCGTGGTTTGTCTGGCTGAGGTTTTCCCAGAAGAATCAACTGGATGACAGTTGGACAGATGTGCGGAAACGAAGCCATGTCAATATTAAGTAGCCGAATAGTGTTGGTAAATGCCGCAAGAACGTGTTCCTTCCTAGCATGTACTTCAGTGGAAGAGCCTTCGGAAGTTCAAATAGAATTATATTTCATGATCTACGGTTTCTTCCTTTAATTTCTGCCACCGGTCTTTCACTTCGATTTCCCCCGATATTGTGTTCAGCTTTCCAAAAAATCACTTTCTTGAAGTTTTCATGCTGCATAAAGCAACGCGTCTCCTAACTCCTTAAGGAGCGTTGAGCGCATCGGAGTGATGCACCATTTATAAGCCCCTCTAGGGACCGCTTTGTTGTGAAGTCAGGGAATAGCCGACAGGTGGCGTCTTTGCGCTCTCGTCATCTTCCCATCGGCCAGGAAGGAATAAGGGTAAGGTTCAAGACATTTCTCAGGCGTTGGACTAGCCTCTGTGAAGCATGCAAAC